GCGTAGAGCTTCTTCTAGAGTGTCTAATCAACAGAACAATAAAAAATTAGTAACAAAAAATATAATAAGTGCTAACTTTACAATAGAAAAAAAATAATGAAGTTTATTTTTAAAAGGCAATTTCTTTAAAAAAATTTAAAGAAATTTCTATTAAAATAATGATTAGTGTTAAAAATCGTTATTTCATCTAATGTTATGGATTATTAGTTTTGTTATTATAATAGGCATACAAAAAAATTAATTATCTATTCATATGGTAATTAAACAACGAGCAAAAGCTAAAAAGAAGTTTATATTAATGTTGTTAAAAATAGATAATATTTTGTAGCAGTATTACTATTTCAATTTTTATTCTTAATAAGTTTTTAATAAATTATTATAAATGTGTTATAATAGTTTGTAAATTTATAAATTATACTTGTCTAACCTTAAATTTACTATTAATCTCTTGGCAACAATAACATATGAATAATAATATATTTAACAACCACCAATCATTAATAGTTTCCATTATTTTGTATTGATTCAATAATAACAATAACTTTTGGTAAAAAATGGAATTCGTGTTTAAAAGAATATACACATTGTGTGTGGTTAAATATACTCCACTGAACAGTAAGATATAATAAAACACATAATAAATTGTATTTTTCACATCAAAATTTTAGATAACTTCAATAACACAAACATGGCTAATATAAATGTATATTAAAAATTTAATTGCACTACTCAAATTTCACAACAAATAAATGTTATACAAAARTAGGGTACCCAGTTCCAGATAAACTTCAGGTGTAAGCAACAGAGGTCTCAACTCTTTTAAATACTTCCCCAATGTTATAGATATTTTGTGCTTTCTTATAAGAATTTTAAATTAGAGAACCTTCATTTTTTTTTACACCTGGACCCTAAAGGGGTTTAAAACCTGGCAGGTACCTATTATTTATTTAATATTAACATAAACACTGAATGATAACTGAAACAAAAATAATGAAGAGCAAATAAATTTTATAATCTATATGGTTAATATTACTCTTTTGATGAAAAATGATTTAAGTATACCAATAGTTATTATTATAATTATAATTACCTAAAGTATAATATATTAGATTGTGTATAAGTATCTAAATGTTAAAAGTAATACTATAGTAACTAATAGGATTAAATTACATTAATTTACATTAATTAGAGAGAAATAAAATAACCAATAATTTAAATTATAAAGATAATATATGTTATTTAATGAGCAGTTTAATATTAAAGATAAAATATAAATAAAATGTTGAAGAACCTATTATTAGTATAATTGTTTTCATTGTTATCAAAAAAGTAAAATGTTAAAATATGATATAGGTAGTCACTACTCACTAGTCATTGCAAATTGCAAATTGAAATTAATTATTTTGAGACCTTAARAGGACACCTAACATCTGCAAATTGTTAATGAAAACAGTTTTARGTCAAAACAAAAAATGTCCATCGTAAATAGAGAAAAACTTAGATTCTAAAATGTTATTTTTAATATCAGTTATAAGAAAAAAAGTAAGTGATTATTGCTTTTAATCAGTTACTTTTATGTTTTTCAAACTTTAATAAAATAATAATATTTATTGGTCATGTGGTGATTAAAAAATAAAATTGACTTTAAAATAATGTAATTTAAATTGCATATATAAAACCCCTTAAAAATGTAAAGTTTTTTACATATTTTTATTGAATATTCTTTATAAATATAGTACCTATAACTAAAATAAAACTATATATTATTCAACAATGAAAATATATATTCTAGTATTTCACTAACTATCTAACCACTAAAAAAATCACTTATGTCTCCCCACCTATAAATAATTTGATATTTTATAATTTATTATTTATTTCATCAATAAATAGTACATAGGTATCTGATATGAATTAATATTTTTTAAATAATTAATTTTATTTAAATAGGTATAAATTGAAATAATAATATTRTCAATTACAAGCTTTCAATTACATACTGACACTTAGGTATTGTTCAAAAAATTGTTTACAAAAAAACGAATAGATAACATTACCTTTATAAGCTGAGACACTTAATTTTCCAATTAATGTTATTCAAACAATCTATTTATTTGTTATCACTAGGTACCTGATGACAAAATTATAAATTGACAAATATGAACAAAAATGTTACAGGTATTTATATCTTCCTTCAAAATGATATACATTATATAATTTAAAATATCCAATCATTATAATTATTAAAGTAACTACCTATTAATAATAATTTCATACGATTATAAAGATAAAATTTGTAATAATTTGTTGTAAACATCATAATTACCGGGGACCATATCGAACAAAATATTCAGAGCAGTAATTAATAAAGATTTATATAAGTACTTAATACACCTACTTTTACCGTGTCAATAAATGTTCATCATAATATAAAGTCTTAAAATTACATTTAAACCAATAAAACTTCTATTTTATAATTGTAAATTTAAAATAATAGTAACAACAATGATTTAATTATAAACAATCAAAATTAAAATGACTGTTTAATAATATTTTTTTTTTCT